TTTTTTTTTTTTTTTTTTTATGCAGTTCATCGTTCTGGTCAAATTTCTTTCATTTATGTTTTATTTAAATTTATAAATAATGTTGCCAACTATTTTTTTTGATACGTTGAAATAAATACATTTTTGATACTTAATCTATTCAATAATTCAGTAGATTGATACTTCTCGTTGGCAAGGCCATTTCGTAATTTCATAATAATAAAATTCATTTCTTAAGATGTAAGTACGTATAATTCATACATCTTAAAACTTACAAGAAATTATAAACATCTAATGTAAGAGTTTTTTTTTGTTATTACATATTTTAAACGATTTTCATGAATAATTAATTATCGTATAAAATATTATTGATCGGAACAGCTAAATCATTTCCTTAAAAAAAAATCACACACACACACTATAAATTAAATAATTAAATAACAAGTAGTTGTTACCACGAGGTATAAATTGTGAGGAAAGTAAAAATTTCTCTGGCAATAATCATATTTCATGCTATTGTAATAAAAGTGAGTTTTCTTATGCCTTTGGATTTGTTCTCTCATTTGTTAATTGCATGTTTTCATTGATTAAAATTTCAACCTGCAGTAATCACAGTAAATGGGCGCTGATGTGATTTTTTACATTTTACAACAAAAGACGCAAATCAAAATAGTTGGGCAGTTTTGAATAAGTTTTCTTGTGCCTTCGGATGTTTCTCTCTTAATATATAAGTAGTTTATAATTTTTTGTAAGTTTTAAGATGTATGAATTGTACTTACATCATGAGAAATTAGCTTTATTATTATGAAATTGCGAAATGGCCTCGCCAACAAGAAGTATCATCCTACTAAATTATTGAATAGATTTAGTATCAAAAATGTATTTATTTCAACGTATCAGAAAAAATAAAGTTAGCAACATTGTCTATAAATATAATATAACATGAATAAAAAAAATTTGACGAGAACGATGAATTTAACTGCATAAAAAAAAAAATCTGTAGAACGTTGGAAACGATTCCTTGATAGCAGAACAATTCGAGCGGCGTCAGCATCGATCAACTGAGCTACCGAAACTTCGATATTGAGAAATCTAAAAGCCAGTTATGTTCAGTAATAACCTCCGGAGCATGTCTTGCAGTTCATAACAATTATGAGGAAAAATAATAAATTAAGGATTATAACTGAACTGCCATCCTTAAAAACATAGCTGAATTTTTTTTCAAAATAAAAAAAAAAAATAAAGAAAAAAGAACGAGAGCAAAAATCAGTTTAATATATATACGATATACTCGGTTGCAGTCGAAAGAAAAAATGTCGTGTCATCGCTTGCTTTGGCTGTGCGTTCAGATATATAGCTATAGTCAACATTTCCACTCCTCTTCTCGTAGACACACATTCGGTATACTCCTTCCACAACTCTCCAAAATGTGCGCCTATATGACCATTTCCTCGCGAATCCACTCCACTTCTCGTAGGCGCACGCTGTCCCATACGAGTACTGAGATGTGCGCCCGGTTCGACAGCTGGCCGCGGCGGGGCGCTCCGATCAGTGCCAAAAAGGCGTCTCACATCGTATCGCCGTCACATGGAGCGGTAGAGGGTAGAGGTTCACAGTAGCGGTATGAGCTGTATGTAGGCAGCGTTGGGTTAGGCGGATTCAATATCGGAACTTTTTCCCTAGATCGTATGTATAGCTATACCCTCATGACCCGGGGCGCTAACTGGCCACTCTGTTAAATAAATAATTATTAAAATAACACAATCTACTATCATAGGTGATAGGCGCTTGTGTTATTTTAATAATTATTCATTTAACAGAGTGGCAGCATATAGGTGTTAGCAATCTCTCTACTCATCTTTGCCGCGATACTCCCTACTACACTTTCCTCATCTTCCCGGTCGGATGGTTTCGGTAGGACTTGATAAAAAAAAATTTTATCTGGACACATGTGTGTCTTTGCACGCAAACCTGGTTTAACGATTAGTGTTATACCTATAAATATTCCAGGATAATTGTATATCAGCAGTATAGGTTGATATAACGTTTACACATAGCTCTAAAAAACAAAATATTTTTTTCTGGTATGAATGCATGACCTATAATGTTGTATAGATTTTTCAAAGTATGTATAGAATCAACAGGAAATGTTATCACGTCTTATGAGTTTAATTAGACCACTAAATTATGTATCAGGATGCATCAAATTTTGACGATTTATAATGTTGTATAGGGACATTAAATGTTTGTTACGTTCATCGCAAGATCATATACTTACCTATTTTACCTGTTATTTGACTGTTAGAAATACATTTGAATAATATGGAATATATGTACTACATCAGGTTTTACTGTGAAAATGCATATTTGATCATATAGAGTATCAAAATCAACTTTACGTGTTAATCAGGGTTTATAAAAATTATTATACAAATGTTAAATTACTTTTTATACAATTTAATTATGAATTATGATATTATCACAAGTGGTGACCACGATTGTTTCATAACCCACGCACATTAGACAAGACATCGACGAACTTTTCAATTATACTTCTTAAGGTAAAAAGTAATATGTATCTATATGTAAGTGAAACAAATTTTTGATTGTTATAAGCTTAATCGGAGCACGAGATGTTTTCTTTTTTATTCTTACGATAATTCCCGATTCTNAGTAAACATGCAACGTTAAAAAATTTATTTCAGATCTTATAT